TGCAGAGCAACAAAGCTGTGACAATTGTTCAACTGTGTTTGCTCAAGGCCTGTGTGGACAGTACATCCGGGAGTCAGGAATCCTCTTAGGCCCAGAGCCAGGCACTCCGACACACCCCAAACCAGGTGAGTTTTGGGGTCATTACTTGCGTTCACCTACTAAGCCATCGTGCTCTCCTTCTTCCCCACCCTGTGCCCCTCACCTCTCCCCTGCAGAGCTGGGATCTGGCGTGGGAAAGGCGTCCCTGGGCTTTTCACAAATCCAGTATCCCCTTGAACCAAAACCAATTAGCCTGGCCCAAGGTCCTGCCATTGAAGGACTGTCCCCTCTTTTCAAACCCTTTCAGTCTCAATTGCTTTAAGGAGCCTGTCTATGAATGAGCAGGGCCCACTTTAAGTGATACTTAAGCCAGGACCAGGGTGAAGGGAACGAGAAAGTCTCTATAGGAACAGCAATCTGAGTTTCCAAGAGACGGCTGACTGACGGAGACCGAGTTCAATGGATTTTTCGCTCCTGCGCTTCTGAGACAAATGTCCCTAAACTGAACCTGATCCAGTGAATAAACATAGCCAATGACACCTGGAATGGGGACTCCTGCTGAAGAGACTTGGAGCCAGATCCTCAGCTACTGTAAACTGATACTGCCGCATTGAAGTCAAGGTTGCTAAGCAGATTTCCACAGGCACCAGACCTGGCCCCTAAGATTCAAACAGGGGGATAGGGAGAGTTCGGAGAGGAACTGACTTGAACCAAAGCTTTGTTAAACAGTTGGAAAAGACAGTTCTGCTGCCTGCATCCTTGGGCAGCAAGCCATCACAAGGTAGCTGGGCTCAGCAAAGCAGAGGAGAGGAGACAGGGGCAAGAAACAAGCCACAAACAAGCCTGAAAAGAGTGACTTCACCGAGTCACGTGGTGCAGAGAGTCAGCAAGGCCAGCAAACACAGCCATCTTACACACACAGCAACGGTACACTCACAGGTCCCTTGAGGAACCTCATGGAGACCCTGTGCAATAGAAATGGGCATTTTTCAAAGCTGTGAGTGATAAAATTAGGACGTTGGGGTCCTGCGTCTACTCAGCTGCCATTTTGGCACATGAATAACTCTGCACACACCATCTCTGGGCAGGGGCAAACCTCTGCTCACCCTTGAACAGCTCCAACGCCTGCACCTGCACAGGCCTCCCAGAATCATTTGTCCCTTTGGGAGACAGGCGTGCAAATTCTGACATACGAGCACACACTTGTGTTTGCACGTGCAGAGGCCAGACATTGAGCATTCCCCGTTTACGCCAGAGCCCCATCCCCTGAACATTTACAAGAAGATTGGATGAAATTCCAGTAAGTGTACAAGAGAGGACAGCCCCACACTGACCACCAGCACTTCGGCTGGATAAAACCAGAAGGCCTCTTTTACCTCCTCCTTCTGTGATTTTATGGGTGAAGCTAGATAAAGACAGTAGCTGTATGGAGAGCAGACGGGCTTCAAGGTCCCATGCAAGAGACGGATGAAGTTAGAAGAAATGACAGGCACCGCTATCCAATCAGCATTTGGACCGAGGCTTCAAATGATCTCAGAGAAAACCCCGGTGGTAGGAAGTGATTGATGTCTAAGAGGATGTTAGGTCTCAGACAGCTTCTCTGAGCACAGACAGATTCTCAAACATGCAGGGAATGAACAGCCTCAGATGCACCGTAGGTGTCTGCGGTTTTTTGGCTACTCCTACCATCACGTGCAAATCACTCCCCTTTCAGCCTTGATCTGAACTGACTGGAAGACTAAACAGCTAGGAAGTGAACAAGAATGAAAGGGGATTGAGACCAGAGAGTCCTACAGCGGTGCTTTGTGCAGGGACAGAGGTGTGAGTGACAGTCTACGTCCATGCTCCCCTAAACGCACCGTTTTCAGGACATCGTTGCCTCACGCTTTCAGCTAGCACCTAACCACCTTAACCTGCCCCATTCGAGCACTGCCTGAAGGACAAAGACAGAGATGGCTTAGCTGCAGCTTTATGGAAAAATCTCATTCCCAAATTGCCTACGCTGAATATTGAAGCTCCACCATGCGTGGAAAGGAACTTAAGTATCCCACAGAGAAGAGAAAGCAAAGAGAATATCCACTAAACGTTCAGCCTGTTATTTTGTTCTGTTCTATTCTTTTTCAGATTCCATTACCACATCCATCGCTAGGGTATCCGATCACCAGGGCTGCCTCTGACTTGTGTGGGTTACAAGCACTCACGAGCCTTAGAAGATCAGGATGCGTCCTTGCTTCAGCCCCACCGTGCTGCACGGAAGCAATCCCACTGGAGCCAAGTAAGGTCTAAAGGATTCAACATTTTGTGGGCCCGTGGCTCGTCACACTCAGGTTGCATCTTGCCGAGCCCTAGCTACTGCCAAAGGACGGACTTTCATGATATTGATGTAATTGTGGCATTTGAAGGAGAGCTGAGCAAAACGGAACTGCCTCTCATGGATGGAGGGGGTGGTCAGATGAATGAATCAACACTAGCCACGGCAAGTAGCAAGGCTGAAGCACTACAAGACTGGGAGCGCCGTTTCTCCATTCAGAACACTACATGCCCTGAGGACAGATTTTTAACACATAAAAGCAGAAGGCCAACTTCTCTGCCAAGTTATTTTCTTTGGGGAAAAAAACAGACAGATCCAAAAAGAACAAAAGCTTGGTAGGGTTTGTTAAGTCTGACCCACAAGGCAGAAAACCTGGGCGCTGAGGCATTAATAGGTCAGCCCCTTCCGTAAATTTCCACCTACTTACTGCACCTACCCCACTGGGCAAACAAACACATTCTTGAATGCAAAAAATCCGGCCAAAGAGCATGCATCTACTAAATGTGTGAAGCGGTTCAAGTTTCACGCTGCTGTGCTGGGCCCGGTGCACAAATCCAATGTGCGTTGGCTCAGAGCATTAGATTAAAACTTTATGAGCCTAGGAAATACTTCATTTGCATCTGATTCTTTCTAACTGGTGCATGTGAAAACATTGTTCCTACACCCTGTTTAATTTCGTAAAGTCATATTTAACAACCATATTTTTTCTATATTTTTTCAAGTCATCTCTTTGTACTCTCATCTCCATCAAATTACAGAAGTTAGAAATGGAAGAGACCTATAGGCTTAGCTAGCTAATCTCCCTGCCTGTGCAGAAATATTCCCAACAGAATATATATTCTCCAGCACAGCTGGTCGAATAATTCATTGTGAATAATATTCGTTGTGAATTTTGGCATTATTTTCCATCAAATCATTACTCATGAATAAATGTATTCATTAACCACCCAGCTCAGTTCTCCCTTGCTTTGTTCATTCTAGTTTTAAAAGAGCTCAGATTAAGTAGTTTCCATCTGGATCGATGTTATTTCTCAAAGAAATATCTGAGAGTGCCATCCATTATAACACAGAGGCAAAATAAAAATAAAATAAATAGGAAGGAGGGACAATGCTACGGTCCATCCTTCTCACCTCCGCTTGCTTCCAAGTTTTCTGGGATTACACCGAGAATACATATTCCAGATGGTTTGGAGAGAACAAAGTTGGATTCGTAATGACACGTGTGTTGCTGTGTTCGGAATGAATGATTCATTCTGATCTTGCCGAGACTTTGTGCCACAGTTGAGTTCCATTTCTAGAAAATCCGTATCTTTAATTCTGGCGCTGCGTGTGGGACCCGGCAAATCATGGAATTACTGCTGTAACTTCGGATTAGTAACGCTTTCTAAATGATAGTCTAATTCCAGGCCTTCATGCTTTTCAGCGTTCAAACTCACACAGCCTTTTCCCTGGGAGGCCTCCTGTGGAATTAGTGCAGGCGTCCTCTTCTTCCTCTGCCCTTTTTAATTTCTCCAAAGACTTCTCATTAGAATATATAATAACCAGAGCTCCTCTGAAGTTTCTTTCTTGATGTATAGTCAGACTTTAATCTGGAGCCTCTTTATTTATTATTATTTGGGGTGGCTGTTTGTTCACCCCTCGGCTGCGAGGTTGATGAGCGCTTTGCCCTCGCTTTGCGGGACTTGTGGATTCGGACGCGTACAAGGTGGAACGGGTGTTTGCAAAGGCCACAAGAAAAGGACTCCTGGCTCTCGCTCCTTTTCCTCGTGAGAGTGCCAGTGGAAAGCTCAATCCAAGCAAAGCCCTTCTCTCAGGGACTACCCCTTTGGCATGGCATGACTTTGTACCCACCACGGAGCTGGAACGAAGATGCCAGATGAAGGAGGCTGGGGGATGCCTGAGAGCTCCTCGGCCCACATTGACCTGCTTCATTTTCAGGACAAAAGTTTGAGACTCAGTGGCAGGTTTCCAGCCAAGCCAGGCTTAGACCAGCCAAGGCTTAAACTGCCTGGACTTAAACTCAGCCTCCTCCCTGCTGAACTGCTCCAGAAGGCCAGAGCATGCTCTGGTGGACAAGAGCGGTCACCCCCCGCCGGACACTTGTGCAGCGAGGACACGGGTGACCCGGGGCAGAGCCGCGG